ACTGTATGACATAAAATAAAGTACATATATCTATATGGTATTTAGTTGTGTCCCACTTTAATTGATTTTAAGCAAGTCAGACACCTTTGGATAAATAAATTAATAAAAAGTTCGTGGGTAGAATTCTACCCACAAGGGTCTGAACGTAATTTTTATCTAAGGTATTTTGAGGGCTAATAAGAGAATGTAAACATATTTACCAAAAGCTGTTGAGTACCAAATACAGATCCACGTATTACACGGCGATCGTACATAACATTGCGGTAGGGCTGCGGGGCAGTATCCCTGTAACAAAAAATCATGGAAGCAAATTAATTATGTTTGTATGTACATGTTAATATAAATTACAATGCATAAAGTAATAATTTAAAAAAACATTAAATATGAACACATCAGCTAAGCTGCCGAAAACTGAATTAAATGCTTTATAAATCCAAACTGAAAACCAAATACAGCTTTTATCCGTACATCTTCTAGTCGAACCCATCTAGCCACAATTAAAATAATGCCGTTATAGAACATATAATTACATGTTGCACAAATGCACTTTAAGCGAAAGGTTAGGTTAGGTTATCTTGTCTGCCCTCAACCCTCACAGGAAAAGGGCTCACTTAGGCCACCATGGGCCCATTGTGATGCCATATTAGAAACTTCTCACGTCCCTGCTTTACCTCAAAAATTGAACCAATTTGTAGCTTTGATGAAGCGCACAAAGTAGTAGATATTGGCCTAAGCCAGTTGAAGTCAGACATTCAAAAGAATAGTGGGGGATCGAGCATCGACGAGCCCTCACCAAAGCACGACAGTCGCATAGATAATGCTCCACGCTTTCTATTTCCTTCTCATCATGGCAGCTACGACAGTAGTCGTTTGACTGCAAGCCCATTCTGGCAACGTGGACACCCATCACGCAGTGCTCGGTGAGAACTCCAATGACATATCGGAGCAGTGAACGCTCCACGAGGCAACCTAAGCTAAATATGTCTTGCTATCCTGAACGTAGGCTCGGTAGACCATCTTGTATTTGCACCTTTGATAAAGTTATTCTACAGCCAGAGTTTGCAGGAAGATAGTGGAATGCGCGCATTACGAGAGGTACTGATTGCTGACAGTAAGGTTTCTTTCCTTCATCTGCAACACAGTTGCCAGGTTTGTCTTTATGGCCTGGCACCCGTACAACATTAGTGAAGTACGTCCACATTCCATGACAATCTTCGATGCAGATTTATCTCAGTTAAGTGTTTTAATAATCAGAAAAGATAGTTACCGCATGCAGACTAATAACAGAAGCGATCAGCCATCTTACAGCTGCGTTGATTGCGGTTAGTTCAGCTTGAAAAACGCTACACAGATCTGGCAGACGAAAACTAAGGCTAAGTGAGAGTTCTTGTGAGTATACCCCACTTCCTACCTTTAGATCCATAGATCCATTGGTGCCATCAGTGTACATGGCTGCCGAATCAAAATACGAGATCAGGATTAATTCATCCCTTGAGGGGATGCCTGTCTGGAAGGTAGCCGCCTGAAGTCTACTAGAAGATCTTCCCAGAATATTATTCACAAGTTGAAATAAATCATAAAATTAAAGACCTAAATAATTGAAAACAATCAAATAATTATGTTAATCATGTAAATAAAAAAATTCAAAAATAATTGAAAGTAATCAAAAATAACAAAATAATCATGTAATTAAACTTACTGGTACTTAATCATTAAACTGTTACGAAAAAAAAACCTGTTTTAATTAAGAATAATTATGATTATTAATCATTATTTAACAGGTCTGCTCTAAAAATTTAATTTCAATAATAATAAAATACATTAAATATTTGAAATAAAATATATCAAATAAAATAAATTAAATAATAAAAAAGCCCATGAAGTTTTCCATGTACATATTTTATATGAAAAAAAAAAACACTTTTTCTTAGTAATAGTATAGAATTCTAGAAAATAAATATTTTTTGATCAGAAAACTAAATTTCTCTTTAGGAGATTTCCAACAACAATGCCCAATTGTTTATTTTACCATTTTTTATATTGACGATTTTTATGGGTATCCCATTAAATTTTTTGGGGTTCTTGGGGAACATATAAAAAATAATTAATATTAAAAAATGGTTAAATAAACAATTAAGTATTGTTATTGGAGGTCTCCTAAAGATAAAGAGAGTTTTCCGATCGAAAAATTTAAGAACACAATACCATTTCTATGAAAGTGTTTTTGCTTATAACAGGTGATTTTTTAAGAGCTTGATAACTTTTTTTAAAAAAAAAATAAAATACATGGACAACTTCATGGGCTTTGAGGTAGTTCTAAATATATATTTTTTTTATAAAAAATATGGGTATTTTTTCCATTTAGTAAAACCCTAGGGGGTGAGAGCTTAACATTTTAAACTTTTTTCCCCCCGAATGTACCTATGGACCACCCTTGTACGCTTTCAATGCGGAAATGTTATTGATGTTTGAAAAACAACCGCCGCCCACCGATTTTAACACTAGAAATAGTAAATAGTAGTGATCCCTGGGTGAGTGGGAAGCACATTTAGCATATTGGGACGAGACTCTACATATTGAATTTAAAGAAATCATAGATGGAGCAAAAGAGTTTGCTTTCTCCTCAGAATCCTCGAAGGGGTTCTTATTTTGAGTTCTCAGAGTTTTCGGGCCGATGTGGTGTAGTGGTCTTTTACAGGGTTGAGTGTGACACCAAACGCATTTTGCACAGTGTAAGGGCAACATTTTTTGGAAGCAACGAAATCACCGTTAACTTTTGCCAACTGCAAATACATGTTTCTATGATTTTCTATGATATTTCAATAAAAATGCGTATGACCCATGGTGAAATAATACCAGGTATAGCAATTAGAGCGAGAAGAAAGATTTGACACTAGCTTATTTGAAAATTCGCCTTTGAAAATTTCTATGAGATAGCCGAATGTTAAGAGAATAAACCCTGATTTTAATTTCACCATGCGTATGGCCTAGAATTCAAAAAAAATAATAATTTTTTTACTATCAAATATTTAAGGGCGTTGACGCATGATCCGCCCAGGGCGCCTTTATACCCACAATTTTGATGAGTACACTGTTGAAGAAATTAATTTGTTGGCCTGTATAAGTATAATTTATCTATAGAATTCAGCTCAATGTTTTGCTAACCTTCCTACAAGTCTTCTGTATGTGCATACATATGGGCTACATACACATACATATATACATACATACATATGTACATATCTACTTAAATTTTAAGATCATCGCCTTTGCAGCACGAAGTTCAGAAATAAAATAGCCATGGAGAACCTGAACTGATGACCTATGCAAATTTCTAACGAGCGCCGAATATGTTTGTGCAATTTGCATGTCTTGCAGTAAGTAGCGCATAGCCGGAAGTTATGTACATATGTATGTACTTCAAGTTGCACCTCCTTCATTTGGGAGGAAAGAGGATTCGTACGGAGACGAGGAAATAAAAAGCTAAAACTCAAGTTTGTATTTAACTACATATGTAGATACATATGTATGCACGTATTAGGGATGTGGCGAATGTGGAATTATAGGCGGATGCGGATGTCTGAAAGCTAATATGGTGTTTACATGAGGAGATTGGGCAGGTTCAGAAGGCGCAGCAGTTGAGCACCACCGTTGCTAAAAAATCAGTGATCGTTATGCGTCCTCGGAACGGCTTGATACATTAGCTGTCAAATTCAACCAAATTCCAAATTTTATCTAACTTACGTAAAGCCTTCTAAATTTTATCAGATAGGCTTCAGTGTTTGAGATAATATTTGATATTTGAAATTTGCTTTGGGTCGCTTCGAGATCATTTAGAAGCAAACTTATGTTATACGAGTATATTTTAAAAGGGAAAACCAATTAAATTTTAAAGTTTAAATATATATGTAAATAATATACGATACAGAAAAAAAATTCGCAATATATTTTAAAGTGTTTTAAATTTTTTTTAAATTTATTTATATGACACCAGCAGACCCGGCGAACTTCGTCCCGCCCAAAAGTATTTTGTTTTTTTATTGAACTTTTTCCTCTTCACTCCCTGGCGGAAACATTATCAGGTTGGATGGTGAATATGTCCATGAAACTGTGTAGTATAGTTGGTGGCAATTTCAAAATAGATCTGATTTAAAACTTTTCGTGTAAAATCCTGTAAAAATGTCAAATAGCAAGATTTTAAACGAACGTACCTATTGACTAACCAACATTTAACAGAACTGTTGCGAACGGTTTTAGCTGATTTTCTTTAATACCTACATTGGAATAATAATAAAATTAATGTTTTTCATTTCTAATAATAATTTTATTTTAAAAATGAAATTTTTGGTTTGTTTTTCTTATGGCTCTCTGTAGCTTTTAGAATTTACATTTGGCTCTTTTCGGCCTTGGCCTTGCCCACCCCTTTACGGCATATTTTCACACCTAACAAATATGCACAAAAAAAAAATCATAAAAATCGTTTAAGCGGCTTAGGAGGAGTACGATCACAAACACCGGGACACGAGACTTTTATTTACTAGACTTATGATGTAATGGCCTTATTCATAAAAATAGAGTAGGTTTAAAGGGTTGATGTTTTCATGAATTTTTCAATTTATAAACCTTTTTAAAAGCTACTTTATTTTTTATGAATAAGGCCATTACATCATAAGTCTAGTAAATAAAAGTCTCGTGTCCCGGTGTTTGTGATCGTACTCCTCCTAAGCCGCTTAAACGATTTTTATGATTTTTNCGTCCCTCGGCAGGCAATGGCAAACCTCCGAGTGTATTTCTGCCATGAAAAACAGCTTCTCATAAAAATACAATCGCCGTTCGGAGTCGGCGTAAAACTGTAGGTCCCTCCGCTTTGTGTGACAACATCAAGGCGCACGCCACAAATCGGAGGAGAATCTCGGCCAAACACTAACATATGTGTAAGCGCCAATCTATTATTATTATTATTAAGGCCATAAAGCTATATCTAAATGAGCACAACAACAACTATCCAAACCGAGCCCAGTGTTTTTATTATTTTCTCCTTCTTCATTGGCGCTATAGTCACTTAAGCTGTTTTGGTCGAGTTCCAGCATGCCGTCGTTTCTTTTTCTAGTCAACTAGCGCCAATCAGAAACACCAAGAAAAGCTAAGTTCCTTTCCACCTAGTCTTTCAAAGGAAGAATAATTGACTATTATTGAAAAATTATAACAGTAAATTTAAGAAGCTCAATTTGTAACAGCACACAATTTAATTGAGGGAAACTAATTAATAAAACTTAATTTTGAGT